TCTCTCTCTCTCTCTCTCTCAGAATAAAAATAGAGTAAATTCAAAGCAATTCAAGAAATCAAAGTCGGAACCAGAGCCCAGTGGTAGAAGCGCTTGCCGCCGAGCCTGACAATTGGGAGTTCGATCCCCAGGTTCTACATGGTGGAAGGAGAGAACTGACTCCGGCAAGTTGTTTTCCAACCTGCACATGATGTCTGCCATGGCTCCCCTGCCCACACCCTTCCTGGATACGAAATAAACAAAATATGATAAAAATGCTTTCAGATTCATTCAGACATATTCACCAGTCTTCCCTAGTAAAGAGCGAGGGTATCCAGGTAGTAGTTTCTTATGAGTTCTTTCATTTGTACAGCAATACAGAGGTCAATGAGCCAATCATCTAAACTTCCTATCCACTGGATAATCTGACATTAGAAGACGATGAACAGGTTATGAGAAGACTTGCCGAGGCGTCACAAATGGTAAACTGACTTTATTTTGCGTTACAGGATCATTTACAAACTACATGGCAAACAGCATTGATGATCAACAATTCTGAATCCAATACTACCTCTGAAGAACTGTGACCTGGGCAATTTATTTGACCTGCCCTTGCCCAGTTATTTGGGTCTGCTAAATTCTGAAAAATGCACCACGTTTTTAACCCTAAAAAGTTGTTTGGATTCTTGAGCTAAAGCTTCTATCATGCTTTAAATTTTGGGATGATGAAACTCTAGGGAAAAAAAAATGAAAAATTTTGGGAAGCTTGCAATGTGAAGACTGTCCCCCAGCACAAAGTAAGTTTTGCAAGGCTTAGTTGCTACAGGAATAAAAGGGCTTCCATAATTGAGAAATAAAATCATAATAGGGGCTCAATCAGAAGAGAAAGGCCCTGCCCCACCTGAGGCCTGTCAACAATCCTTTGTTGTTCCAGAGGACATCAGTGTTTGAGATACAAAGCACATTTTAGAATGTACAGTCCTTGCATGGCAGACAGATGAGGATCTCTTCTGCGAGGCTAGGAGATGTACTTGTCTGTGCTGGAGTATGGATACCCTGAAGAGTCTGGTTCTTTACCACTGTGGCTCAGAGCAGCAATTCTTAGGACGTGGCACTGGCAGGCCGTGCAGATGGAGTTCCGAAGAGAGTAGGTGTGGATGGAGGTTAGCCTGGCCTGACAGTGAGATTTATGGTGGATTCCCTTCTGGCATGAGACCACTCACAAGTTCATGACCTTGAGAGGTTGGCTGACCTGGTTATTCAGAAAACAGCAGCTGATCAGCAAATTTCTGAGGTTAGTACCTCGGCAGTTCCTGATGGAGCCACGGTGGGAGCTTGTGAATACTGAGCAAAGGGAAAAAAGAGAGCTTCATTATGTGTTTCCTTTGGTGTATTTCCGGGTCCTTCCAGTTATGAGTCATTTGTGTATGTCTGTGTGTGTGTGTGTGAGTGAATGCGGGTAGAGCCCAGACGTCACCCTCTGGCTTTGTCCTCAGGAGCAGTCTAGTTTGTCTTTTGGAACAGTCTCTCACTGAGATCTGGAACTCAATGATTAGGCTAGGTTGATGACCAATGAAAGTCCCCATATTCCCCCGTCTCTCTTTCCTAGCATTGGTATCAAAGGTGTAAGCCACCATATGGTGCCAGGTATTTTTCTTTTTAGTTGGTTTAACTCAAATCCTTAGGCTCAGTGACAAGAACGTTACTGATGAGCTTTCCCCAGGCTCTGTGTTATTCTTTCTCTCTGTCTTCCTTTTGCCACCTGGTTCTCTCCTCTTGTCACCGCAGAGCACCTCTGACATTATTCTCTCTTTTCTTATCTCTTTCCTTTCTTTTTCTTCTTCTCTCCTTTTTTTTTCATGCCTAAAGGATCATCATTGTCAAAACTCTTTTATCACGCAGGCATGACCATAAGGCTATCATGGGATTAGATGATTGAACCTCAGTTAGGATAAATGAATTCTTCTCTCCCTTCTCAAACAAAGATAGTTAATGTTTCAACAAAGTGCTAGCATGGAGTTTCTGAGCTAGTGGGAGAGACAGAAAATAAAGCACACAATTAATTGCATGTAGGACATGTTGTTTAGTGTTCAGGATGTTCAGGAGATTAAAAAAAAAACACCAAAGGAATAAAAATGAGGTGTTGAGATGTAGGTGAGTTGATTTTAGACAGAAACCCAGGGGGAAAGCCTGCAAAAATAACTTTTGAATAAAGAAATAAAAGGAGGTAAGGGGGTGATTTGTGTGAATGTATGTGGCAAGAATTCACAAGTAGAGGAAACAGCAATGGAAAGGGTCCTTAGCAGCAATGTTTTTGGAGTATTTGAATTAAGAGTGATGGTCCTCACATGGCCAGAGCAAAATGACTCAGATCAGCCACAGTGGTGGGTGGTAGGAGCAGAAAGGCTACGAGGAGGTGGCAGAGAACACCAATCAGCAAGGAACTTTGGCTTCAGAGGTGTGAAGTCAAGAAACTGAGCCAAAGAGTGGCAGGACTAACTTTTGTTTTCTTTTGAGATAACATCTTCTGTAGCCCAGGCTGGCCTCAAATTAAGTCAATCCTCTTTCCTTACCTCCCAACCTCAGAGCTGGGATGACAATCACATGACTCAATGATGATCAGGACTAATGAAACAGAATTACCCTAGAAACTGTAGTATATGGAAGGCAGGCAAAAGTAGAAACCAGGATCTCAGATATGAGGCAGTTGCAGTAATGCACCTGAGAGACAACCATCTCACTAAGTGTAACAATCTTATCTGGCTAATATGATCATTCCCCTTATAACATCGGGGGATTAACTTTAAAAAATCCCAAGTTATTGACCAAGTCATCACTCTGTGAGGGGCAGTGTAACTTCAGTATTGGAGGTTCTTCTTAGCTGCGGGGTTGGTAGCAAATCAGATTTCAGATTTGTCTCACCCAGAGAAGACAGAGCTTTGTTTATTATCTTATTGAGAATAAGAACTAGTGATCTAAGAACCCATGTCAGAAGCCAAACAAAACAAAACAAATCCAAATACTCAGTTTAAAATGTGTTCTGTGCACGTCTGTACTCTCTGGTGCCAGTAATGGCTGTACTGAGAGCTACGACATTCTGGATGTAGCCCAGGAAAGGTCCCAGTGAAGGATGCTGTGGTGATTTGGAACTGGATCTCTTCTCTGCAGTATTTCCCTATGGGTATGACATTTATCCTCCCAAAGCTGAAGTTTCCTCGTCTGTACAATAGTTGTGGTGACAGCTCTTGACAGTTATCTGTGTAGAAACAGCAGCACACAAATTCCTGCAAGCCTGAAGTTCCATGGAAATGGGAGGTTTATTGGCACATTATAATGATTTGTTGAACTATTCTTTCCTCACCCCATATGCACTGAAAAATTTCAAGGTGTCTCCTCTGCACATAGTTTTGGTTGCGATGGCATTGTTTGAAATAAATGGCATTTGTCTTAAGTGACACGCCTCCAATTATAGGTCTGCCTTTTATAAAATACTGTCTTGTAGGCTTCTTTTTAGTGGAGTGTAACATGAAGGGGCCTGCTTGGTGGGGTTTCTGTCCCGCCCAATACCCCACAAAGAAAATCACACAGAGATCTCTATAAGTTATAAAGCCGATTGGCCCATTAGGTCAGCTTCTTATTAGTTCTTGTAACTTATATTAACCCATTATTCTGATCTATTTTAGCCACCTGGCTCAGTACCTTTTCCAGCAAGCAGCTCACATCTTGCTTCTTCGGAGTCTGGGCAGGAGTGGTGAGGACTGGGCTTCCTCTTTCCCAGCATTCTCCTGTTCTACTTCCTGTCTGGTTTACCTGCCTATACTTCCTGCCTGGCCAATCAGAGTTTATTTAAAAAATGATTGACAGAATATAGACAATACTCCTGCACCAGTGGGGCAGGAGTTGTTGAAGAATAGTAATGAGTCTGGAGTATCTGGAGCCAATTGACCAAGGCGGAGAGGGCTATGGCAAGTCAGGGCAGTCAGGCAATGAGGACATGGAAGAGAGTGAAGCTCACAGGAATCTTGGTTTCTCTTCTGACTAGGTGGAGAAGAAAGAGCAGAGGCCAGATCAGATGGGGCAGTTGCATGTGAGAGAGGAAATGCTCTTGCTGCCTTGTTCATGTGAAGGAATGGGGAATCACATGAGAAATACTGCTCAAGTCATCATACGGTGAGGGCGAGAGGCAGCATGGCTTCAGCATCCTGAGTTTATTCTGGCTGTATCAATCACTAAAAAGAAAAACCACATCTTACTATTGGGATGAAAATCTATGCCCATCCATTGCTAATGTATAACACCTACTCTACCATCTTCCACACCAGCCTCTCCATTGCCAATCACTGTGATTTACTTATGGGAACCTTTCATCATAAAACCAGCAAACAACAATAACACCCAACAAGTAGATACTGCAGAGAACAGAATAACAGAATTTTAGAAGAGACTGACTCCAGAAAAAAAATCAGATCAATTTAGAGAAAGAA